TTACATGAGGACCCGCTGAAAAGTAATGAAACAATTCAATGTCATTCCCTTTCATATGACAAAAATTATTAAATTGCGTTTCTCCTTCTTCGAGTAAATAAAGGAATACTTCTAATGGCAAATCGCCTGCCCATGGTTTTCTGAAGTTTTGTTGTTCTAAACGAATTCCATTAACATTAACATTATTTTTAATCTTAAATTCAATTAATGTCAGATCATATCTCCCATAATGTACTAGTAATTTTTGAACCATATATCTTGAAAAATTCGCTTTTTTTGAGAATAAATTTTGACACACATTCTTGTCGATAAAAGTCGGTCCCAACCTTATGCCGTGAAAGAACGCATGGGCTTTTCCGTATTTTTGTATTAACCATTCGGTTTTGGTATAAGGATCTTTTGCGATTTTCGACCAATCCTTGCAGCTTAATATCAAGTTTAATGGAGAAGTGACGTATTTGAAAATATTTATTTTAATAATGACTTCAATGCTTTGATATGTAAGGCTAAACATGTTTATTTTTTTTTAAATTTTAATGCGGAAAAAGGAATATATGACATATAGATAATGTTTTAAGTCAGTTGTGAAAAAAGGTGATTCGAATTTCGACCATTTATATATAAAAAAAATTGGGAGACTGAATGTATGAATTTTATCGCAAAACTGTTCGATCTTGACGATTAAACCAAATATTTTTTGTAATACATAATTAATTATTTCATTCATTCACTTCTAAATAAATTCGAAGCACAAGCTCGGTGACAAGACAGGTAACTTCCTGTTAAATTCGACATAAAGGGTTAATTTTACTAAAAAAAAAAGTTCTTTCAAACCTTTCAAGCTCTCCATTTTTAGTTAATTTTTGCTTGGCGTAAAACTATCATGTATATTTGTTCTCACATATTTTTTTAATAGATAGATCAAACAATGTTTCCTTTTGAAATTTAATAAAAATGGGGGTTTTTTAAAACGGGCGTAATTCTTGCATACTTTATCAGTATTTTCATTCACTTTAAAATTACGGAATTCAAGTCCGGTTTGATAAATTTTTTTTTTTTTAAGGATTCTTGTGCATTTTAAAAAGAAGTTCACACAGCGCTTCTTTTTTTTTTTTTTTTTTTTTTTTTTTTTTTTTACAAAAATGGTTAAGTTCAGCCTTCAGTTATCTTTTGTATTTTTTTTATTCATTGTTTTAATAAATAGACCTTATTTCAAGCGACCATTGGCCGCTTTGTCGGAAAATTGTTAATTGGTTTTCTTTGGTTCTATTATTATATATATATTACACTGACTATCCTCTTTTTAGTAAGATTAAAATCTTTGAAATACGCCATTTGCATTCCTTTCATTCCTTTCCTTTTATGATATATTAAAATAAGAAACTCATTGTAAAGCCATTTATACTATATCACGAAAAAACCCTAGTCTAAAATAGAAAAAAGATTTTTAATGGTAAATAATACATATAAAAAGTTTTTATTTTTTGTTATTTAACGTTAATTTATCGACTTATGGGCGTAATAAACATGCGGTGTTTCGAAACTATTTTTTATTGAAACGATTCTATGTTAGACATAATTCATTACGAAGCCAATTTCAAAAGTTTGACTTACTGGTTAAATATATCTCGATAACGTTAATTTATCGAATTTGTTTCTAATTATCTTTTACAGAATTATGATTTATACTACAAAAAGATCTCTTCCATATTAGTTAGGTTTTTGGTTTACCTTAAATATGAACGAATAATTGTTTCAAGGGTCGGTTTTTTTATTGTAGTATAAATAATTATTAATAAATATACAATGTAAATGGATGAAAACCACCATTCAAATTCTTACTGATAAGAGATATGCAGAACGATGTACATTTTTTATGGAACGATTGAAGTCTAATAAATAAAATGCAACATAAAAAAGAATACAGAATAAAAGGTTTAACACATGAGACATGAGAAGTAATATGACTAAAAAAGGTGATCCTAAAAGTAATCACCTAAAAAAAAAAATCCAAGAATAAAAGAATGGAGTACGTCATCCCATCTCTAGCCAATAATAAATTTTCCGGAAAATCTAATCATGATGTTTTTCTATTTACTTCATTTATGATGGCCAAACTCCGAACTCAATTATTGTGTCTAAATTGTTAAAAACCGAATAATTAGATCATTTGGCGTATTCATGATTTCATGGTGCGCGCCTTCTGTTGGCGTATATATCCTTTTGAAACTTTTATCATGTTACGCGTTAAAATTCAGTAGAACATAACACAAACTTACCAATCTGCTACTTCATAATTTCTTTCCGTTGGAGTTAAAAGATTTTGACCAAAATGAAATAGGTTTTCCATTTTGTTGTAACACTGCTCCCATCCCATACCGTTGCGAAGCATCAGTAAAGAGTTCGAAAGGTAGGGTCCAATCGGGTCGTCCTATCGTTGGTAAGGCTTCACCCAGCATCGAAGGCTCAGAAAAAAAATAAAATAAAAAAAATCGTTAAAAAGAACTATCTTCTTTCATGATGAATTTACCCTATGAAAAAAGGACGTACTGATGTTTTTCAGATAACCGAGTGTTTTTTCGTACGCACCTATACGTATATTATATTATCACCTAATAGTAGGTATTTATTTTTTTTCTTTTCAATATGTATAACTTATACGCGTTATTTATTTATTTTATAATATCCATCTTGTACAGATCGTTTGTGCTTTCCAATTTTTTTTTTTTTTTTGTTTATAGAATCCTTCGTTCATCAAAATATTTTTTATGTTTATTCAATATCTGTGCTGCGCACGGAATATAATTTATTATAATTTTTGTATTTCTAATAAAAAATAAAATCTCGCATTTCTGTCCTATCTATGAATGGATCAACAAGTATATTGACCTTCTTTGCGAATTTCAGTAATTTGGCCCGATATTCTTTGGCCAAAATTAAAAACCTGTGCTAATTTGTAAAAAAAAAATATAATTTTTGAAAATTTATTTACTCAAAATCAAATGAAAATATTACTAGACTTTACAAATGTCAATGTTCAGTAAGGCCCCTTGCGAAGAGTATGCTGTTTGTTCTGTTAAGCAATGCAGAAGTTACAGCTCTTTTGAAAATTTCATTCTTGGAGAAGTAAATATTCTATTTCGTTGAAAAGTCATATAAATGCTTAATGAAATCTTTGTATAATACTAATTCTGAATCAAAATCTACCACTGGACATTTAGAAGACTTAAAATTTGCACCGGAATTTGGCTTATTGTTAGATTGACAATACTTCATAAAGCACTTGGGTAGTGTGTTTAATGTCACTTGATCAGTAGGATCATATAAAAGAGAAGGTAATGAAATAATGCTAATATATATTTTAGTTTATTGTCATATTTCTTAAATTTCTGAACTTTATTATTATAATATAAGACCTATTGGTTTTGCTTTAATGCATTGCATTATAGTAAATACTCATCCCAATTGCTGGAATTTTCATTTTAGAATCTGGAGCTGAAATACGAAAATTGGTTTATTAATATAAGATTACATCGTCTTTATTCGGATCAACATCTATTGTTATCTCTCGTGCAACTAAATGGATCCATATTTAGTATTGGCTTTTCAGTATTGATCTGGTAGGTGTTTAGATCGCGTCGCGTCTAGTTGTATCGAGGAACAGCATGATTTATGCGCATATTTATTAATATATTTTACACAGTAAATTTGATCAATAGTATATACATTGATCTAATGTCGTGTATCGTTAAGGATACTTCTATCATGTGTTCCTGAACTTTTTCGCGAATCATTATCCAAATGGCTTTTGCGTAAGGATGATGTTGAACTTTTAAAGAAGTTTGATCAAGTTGTGTCCGACCATCCAAACTTTTCCCTTGTCGAACCCTTTCAACTCTGACAATTATTTGTTAACCAGCTAATTATTAATTAAATCAGGTGCATAAGCTGGAAAATATCAATATGTTAACTATAGAATCAAATCTTCTTTTTAATATTGCAAGAATGCAGCTTCATCAAGATAATGATAGGGAACCATATAAACAAGAAAAGAAATCAAGACAGTTACAAATATAACAAAGACAAGAATATGAATAGATGCATTTACAATTACAATTACTGCTACATTTTCAACAACATCAGCAGCAACAACAGCACCAGCAACAGTTATATTGCAGCAGCAATAGCAAAAAAAAATAAATATATATTACAAGATCAACAAGAATACTGTAATAGCATCAGCATCAACATCGTCAATAACAATTGCTACAACAACACCAACCACTATTATTACCTATCGTTTTGACCTATACCAAGATGATGATGTTTTGAAAGAAGTGCTCGCTTATTCAAATTTAGGACATCATTGTCCCCAACAGATAAACTAGTAAATCTACTTCCGCACATTCAAATATTTACATTGGCAGTGTTTTTTTTGTGAAAGCAATTCTTGGGTTGCAAGTTGTTTCTCTGGTACAGGAATAAATGCTGAACCAAGAAATGTAGCGCTCGAGCAATATAATGATTGTGCCGTGATCCAAGTGGTAATATTCAAGGTATTTTTAAAAAATTTTTATTATTTTAGCTGTTGTTTAATGTTTTACACAGTAATGATCATTTCTAATAAAATCATTTAGGGCCATTAAGTAATCAGGAAATGAATGAACGTTATAAGGGTGGATTTTTGTTCATAGTCTTTTAGTTAAAAGGGTTGAAGATACTACGTTTGACCATTTAGTGTTTTGATATGAACGACAGGTGATGATGAAAGTCCTTTTTTCTGCGCTAATACCTGGTCCAGATGCCTAATAATTCATCATTTTTGGTTATTGATCCATTCCAAAGACCTTGAGTTGCTTCTAACTTCGCCCAGTACAGCACAGTTATTTTTGGATAATAATCAACAACAATTTAATCCTTTTGGTTAACGACTTTGTAGAAAAGTACATGATTTGATAGATATCAGTTTGGTAGCGTTTTTGGGCATCTAGTGGAGGCGGATGGGGAGATCTAAACTAAACAATAATGCATGGGGACAAGCAGTCGGTTTCATGTCTAATAATGAAAATTTGTCTTTTCTTGTGTAAGCTCCTAATTCACCACCTCTATTTAATAATGCTGCTTCCTTTTATGTTTCACTACCTCAAAGTTATCTTGATCATTAACGAGCACTATCTTCCCAGCTTGAACACCAAAATATATGATACTCCAACAGAAAATTACAACAAAGTCAACATGCTTACTCGGACACATTTATTAGGCAACAACGAAGTTATATAGCAAGTTGGCCGACAACGGCTGCCGAACAATCAACTCCATTATCACCATAGATCGGATCTACTTATTCGCGTGTTCCACAGTCATATGAGATCGGATACTTCAGTATGAGAATAGAAAATCATCACATCTTGATCAGATTTTTAATCTACATAATGAGAAAATATGAAATCATGGATAAGATCCGTCCATGACCGTAAAATTAATATTAATGATGTGGTTGTAACTATGACAAAACCTCTCATGAAATATATTCAACAAAAGTGATGAAAGGTAATAAAAAGACCTTCAAAGAACATTCATTAACAATGATATGCCTCCGCATTTTATTCAGAATGAAGAATTGTATCGTTTTAACCCTAACTTCGAACGCAAAAATGGCTTCCATTACTCAACAAACTTCCAATCAAACTATTTGTCAAAACACCTCAACCAAAGAATAACGGATTACCATGGGGAAATGTTAGTCCTGCCACTCCTTCTTCAGCTCCATGGGCAAAACATGATGATCACGATACTCATAAACTCCTACACTACGCGAATTCAAGAATGGAAGCCGAACTCAAGCTGCTGCGTCTACGGTTACTCATTCCAATGTCTGATTTCAAAGGAAGAATCAACACCCCAATTTTTCTTGAGGAATTATCATCCAATGCATCTAGTTCGTCTTCTCTTTCTACTTTTCCTGCTGTTAGTATGGCAATCAAACAATTCTGCTCCTAAAAAAAAACAGAAAGAAGAAGGAAGAAAGGAAGAAGCAATTTAAAGACGTAACAGGATACGTGAAATGCTGCAACCAGCTTTATTTTATCTAATTCTGGAGCTGGATCGGCTGCCACGAATAGTATGGTAAAACGCTATGCAGATACAATAGCCACAGGAAATGGAGCAAGGTAAGCATCAAACTTTGTAAATATAATAAATTCTTGACATACTTATTATTATTATTATTAAAACTTATAGAAACCCGGACTCTATTTTGCTTGGACAACTGTTGCTAGCAATATTGCAATTACTCATCAACCTAATAACGTTACTATAAATGCGATATCAAGCCCCGTGGAAAATATTCGACCGTAGCTTGAGGTGGTTAATGGTAATTTTATTATTTTTCATAAAATTCAATTTTGTATTTAAAAACATTAAATAAATATCATTGTTTTTAAATAAGATCACAAAGTCAATTAAGAAAGCAATCAGAAAACTAATAAAGCAACTTGAGTTTGTCAAAGTCTTCAGGAAACGGCGGTGTTAATTCCAATGAACCTCGTTCTCCTTCGGAAGAATTTTTAAAATGGTGTCGTCAAACTTTTACGTGGGTAGAATGATGTGAACGATAATATTTTCATTCATTTATAAATAAAATTAATGTACAAAACATTCGATATTTTTCTTAAATATGGATTTTATTCACATGTTGCTTACATTCCCCTTCACGCCACTATTGAAATCATGCAAGATTCGATTTATGCTAATTCGCCAACTCTAGATGGTCAAAGATTGCTGATGAATTTGTTAAGCAGACGCTAGTTAAGTGGATATTGTTATGTAAATGGAATTGGAACGGAAATCAATCAAGAAAATGGATAAGAATTATATGATGTGATGATAGATGACATAGATAAAATCAATTATTGGTTCCATAAAGCTACAGGAGATGACAGAGAAGCATTATATTAATTAGGTAAATTTTATGAAATGGGAAATGACGACGTTTCTCGAAGTCTTGTCAGAGATTTGAATTTTATAAGAAATCAGCTAATCATGATGATAATAGAAATGATTATAAAAGTTGACGACTTGAGTAAACTTTTGAAAATGGTAAAGTTAACGATAGTTTAATATATTATTCGTCTGTTTTAAGATATCTGTGGATAATTTGATAATCAAGTTAGTATTGAAGAAAGATACTATTATTATTATAATGAATGTTGTATGAAAATTGCCAATAATGAAAAAAAAATAATTATGGATGTAAAATTTCAACAATCAAAGAAGAGGCGAAGAGATGTATAATTTCTAGTATGTCTGTACTAAGAAAATTAAAAAAGATCGATCGGATCTTATTGGATGACATCATCACACCATAATTTTTTAAAGTAAAATTTACCCCCACGACGGCGACATTTAGCGGTAAAAAAATTCCAAGTCCCCAGAATACACATGATAAATTGTGCAGGTGAAATTATGACTGCAATTTTTATCATAATTTTAGAACAGAAAATAGTGCGTAAAGTTGTAACATTCCCCTTTCTCATCGGGAATTTTTATAAAATTTAATCAAATTAAACGAAAATAGCAGGTTAGTAAATATTATTCATTTATATAGCAGTTCTTTATTCTATTGAAATAATAAGTGGATTTATTTTATTAACACTTTAAATTTATAATTAGCATGTAGAATCTGATGATGAAAATAGTAGTAATTTACCAAAAAATTATATAAAAGCAGTAATTGTATTCCTAAAGTAGATAAACTTTCAACAACTGATAATATAATAGCTAATAATGTATTGAAAATTCGATAATACCATTATTATAAGAATCATAATCGACCTTGTTTAAATCAAAACGCTCCTCTTAATTCACATTTTGGAAATTACAATTATGATGCTTTCAATTTGGAGTTCGGTAATATAAAATAATATTATTTTATCATTATTGTATTTTTTGATCCACCAACACATCCTTTATTTGTTATTAAAATTTATCTAAATAAAATGTTGAATCAAATTCTGAACTATATTCTTCAAATTCTTTACAAATACCGACTAACATAAATAATGCTTGTTTAGCTTTCAAATTCAACAAATTACTTCTCAATTTCAAATTCCAATAATATCAAATTTTTTAAATAATCTATATATTCAAGAAAATCGAGTAGTTACTGAAGAAGCATTTATATATATATTACTTAGGATTTCAAAATTAATGAATATCAGTTATAGTATGATTAGATGATTTTATGCTAGTGTTAATTAAGGCTTTTTGCAAACGTGCATTAAGGATTTTGTAAAAGCTTTTTGGATTATTTATAAACAATGTAATTGGTTTAGTATTGTTAAGATCACAGTTCCATGGCTTTGGTTTTAGTATTGGATAAAATTGGGTTAAATTTTATTGTTTTGAAATGAGATCAGATAAGAAACAAATACAAATAATTTTATATAAGAATTTGTTAGCAATCAGATCCATTTTTTTTAAGAGTTCATTAGATATATTGGAAGGATTAGAAGCTTTATCATTAGGTATTTGTTATAAGTAGAAACATCTAAAATGTGTTCATAAACATCATCATTAATATTTGAAAGGAGTTGCAGAAATTTGAAAAGTTAGGCATCGTTAGATTGTAACCTCTAAGTTCTGTAAGTTAGCTACTTTTTGAAAGTGTAGAACAGTGTTTACTTTTAAGAGTTTTAGATTTAATTCAACATAGGAATCATTATTAGATTTGTTAATTAAAATTCTATTGAGAATGATAGTTTTCCTAAACCTTTTAAGATAAGAATCTATCATTTTTAAGAAAGCATCTTTATAATTATCAATACGTTGTAAGATAAGGGCTTTAATACAGTTATTACTCTTTTTGTTTGAAAACAATTTTAAGTTGCTTTCTAATAGTTTGATAATGAAAACTTTCAAATCATGAAAATATATGTAAAGATCTTTTTGATAAAAGAAAGAGTCTAGTGAAATTGATGATATTTGTGTTTATTAAAATTTTTAGAATGATTTCATGCTTTTCAAAGATAATAATAAATGAAAAAAGATAAAAGTATAAGGTCAACTGCTTTCTTATCCATAAATAATTTGGTATTATGGTAAAGTTTGTAAAGTTTTTAATTTATTTATAAATAGCAGAATTATCAAAATAAAAAAAAGACTTATGATATAATATTATAATATTTTTGGAAATATGCTTATTTGTAATATATGTAACTAATTGTATGAAGAATTCTCAAACTTAATTAAGAAAAAATTAAGAGAAACCAAGGCTGTTATTATTACAGTTATTAACTCTTTTTGATTCTTTAATTAATTTATCAAATTTATTAGAGTAGAGATCCCAATGCAAGAAGACTATCTTTTCAAAATTGAAGGATTTTTATATTATTTAGCGTTGTTTTTATATGCATTGAAAAAAGTGTTAAAAATATTATTTTATAAAGGATTATATGTAGAGGAAGATGATCTGATTCATATATAATACAAGTTGTGTCAAAGGTTTTGAAAGAAGTAAGGTCATGAGAAAAAGAAGATGATGTAAAAATGTAATCAATATACGTTTGTATTTTTTTGGTAAAGATAAACATATAAAATAATTTTTTTGCATTATCTAAAATTAATAAAATTATTTAAATAAAGTTTAAATTGAGTATTTTGTTTATAAAAGATTTACAAATTCTATTTTTTTTTATATTGTTATACTTTTGTAGTTTGTAGAAATTATATTAAAATCTCTCATTAAAACTATATGATAGGATTTAAATTGGGCTTCAAGAATAATATTAATTATCATTGTTTCTAATTTAGATTTAAAATCTAGTCGATTAGTAGTATTAGCAGGAAAATAGATTTAAATAAGTTTTTAAATTGCAAATTGACATAAGTAATTCTATTTAGTAAAAATTTTTAAAAGGAAATATGATCATAAAATAGATTTGAGGATTATTTGATGAAAAAATAAATTGATATGACTTATTATAAAAAATTTTTGATAAATAAAAGGCTTTATAGAGTTTAAATAAATTTTGCTTAATCCTAAAATATTTAAATTATAAGTAGTAAAAAATTGTTCAATCTGTGTTATTTTTTTGTTAGAAATATAAATTCTGATATTTTGAGTAGCAAAGAAGAAAAAATTAGGATCATTAAAATAAGAATAAAAATTGTTATTTGATAAAATTTTTTTATTATTATTAATGTAAACATCATTATTGTTATTGGATTGGTATATACTTATTATTCAAAGATAGAAAAGTTTGAATGATAAAGCGTAAAGCAAATGAAATTATATGGATTTCTAATTTAATGTTATTAACTGAAGATTTTACTAAGTCAATTAATTCTTTATAAATGATTTGTTTAAGAGTTAAAAATTTCAACTGGGATTAGGAAAGATGATGAAGTATCATTATTTTCTAATTGGATTGAAGGGGTAACAGGAGTAGTTTTCATTTCTTTTTCACTATTTTGAAGTAGAAATTTGTATGTAAAATTGTTATTTTTATTTAGAATCATATTGTTACCAGCTAAAATTCACTATTGAAAAGTTGATCTACAAAGAATTATTAAATGATTTACAGAAGTTACTGGAAT